AGGGCGGGCCTGCTCTCTGAGGCCTGGGGTTAAACCCTCCTAGTCTGTGGGGTAAAGGGCTGTAAACATCCTCTTGTGATCGTTTTAGAGTATATAGATATAATGTAGAACCGAGTGGTGGTGCCTCGGGGCCTGCGTTTTCCTCAGAGCTTCGTGAGGCGCCCGGGAAACGCAGCGCGGCCCCTGGAAGGGGCAGCTCTGGGGACATTCCTGCCCTAAAAGTGAGCAGAGAAGCCCCCAGAGCACGGGGGGGGGTTTGTATTCTTACCGCTCGAACTCTCGGGGATCTGAACCTGACTGAAGGCACAAGCGCAGAGTGAGGGTGAGGAGGGTGAAGTGAGGGGCTTTGCTGGGCCTCAGAGGCAAGTGCAGAGAAAGGAGGATAAAAGCCTAAAAAAAAAGCCTTAAGCAGCATTTAATAACAGCAACCATACGTAGAGGAAGACGTGAGAAGCAAAGGAAAAACGTGGATAAGTTACATGTTTGTTTGCTTCAGTGGTCACTCCCAGTGGCAACGAAGCGGATCAAGGCCTGAACCCAAAGAGAGTTTGTTACTCTCTGGGAACAGACCAAGCAAAGGCCTGTTGGGTGCTATCGTGTCAGCTGCGCCTCATGAACTCCCTGCCAAGACTGCCAAGCCCTAGCTGAGATGGATTCATGGAGGATGGGTGGGATTCCCTTGTCCTGTCACTGGGAGCTAATGGAGCAGAGTCTGGCTCCGTCCTCCTTGCACCCACCCCTGAGGTATTTACAGGCATCTAGATGAAATTAAGTGAATGAATGAAAGGAGTTTGTGCTTCCTAGGAGTCTGTCATTGATTATGGATAGCAGCTAAAAACGGAGTAGTGGTTTGAATTTTAAGACTTTAGCAAGAGGGGAAAAGGAACAGAAATCAAATGCAGGGTCAGATGTAGGAATGTATGTTTCCAAACTGCCTACACATCCTAAAAAACCCCAACATGTTATAATGCTCCCTCACTTCAAGAAGTTCCTAGGTACCCAGGTGACAGCCAGACCTCCCCTGCTAGATTAGAGCAGCTGAGGACTTCCATCTGAAAATCATTCAGTTAAAATGTCTGGAAAATGCTAAGGGGGCGCACACAGTGGAAGACCTTCAGCCCTGGAATTCATTGTCTCCACTGGTCTGACAGTCTGAATATCAACTTTCAAGAATGTTGCAAAGCCCATCTGCTTTCTCAAGCCTTTGTTTCATTGGTGATTTAAGAGTAATTTTTAGTTTTAATTATGGATGACAGCAATAAGAACTGTTTGGTTTATAGGTCTTTAGCCTGTAAAAGGAATTAAGAGCAGAAAATATTATTATTGTTATTATTACATTAATTATTATTAAATTATTATTATATAGAATATTAACAGGCACATGTCTGGGCAACCTGGCCCAGAAAAAAAGGCTTCACTACCTCTGAAAAATTATGAAGAGAAGCAAGAGGAATGGTCAGTGATGTGGGATGTCTTGTGAATGAGATAAAGCAAACAAGAGTAGGACTCTCTCATGTTGCAAGGGTGGACTCGAGCGGACATGATTAAGATGCATAAAATATTATTAGTGTGGAGAAGGTGACTAGGAAATGAAGTTGACAGGCAACAAGCTTCAAACAAGTGTGTTCCAGAGGCCAGGGTGCAAAGTGCATTTCAACAAAAATTGACCAGTTCATAGAGCACTGGGCCATCAGCAGATTTGAAGCATGAGCAGGTGCAGGTGCAACCTGACTCAGTCACTGAACTACAAACTTCCACAGCCAGATGTGGAAACCAGGTAAAAGAATCACACTGTGCACACCTTGTTCTGTAAACTCTGGAAGTGTGCAAGAGATGTAAGAGGATGTACTCATCAGCCCTCATGGCTTTCATCTCCTCTTGTTCACAGGGTTCTACCTGGATCTTGCCACACTTCCCTCCTTCTTTTCCAGGCCTGCATGATATTGTTGTTAGGACAGTATTCACCTGCATCTCTTGCACAGAACATTTTCTCTAAATGTCAAGGCTTGGTTGTAAGATGAAAAATGGATCCTGTGTACACTTTCTGGAGTACAAAAATAAATTATTTATTTTAAATATTATGTAAAAAAATATATTTTATTTTTCTGCAGATACCTGATGGAGCAGAGGAGCCATTTCAACAAGAATGTTGACCCAACTTGAATTTATCATGTTTCTTCTAGCCAGTAAGAGAGGCAGGTAATGGAACAAGTAATAAGATATGAATGGTGTGTCATCATGTAATTCATGGTTTTAAAATCCATCCTGTGTCACAGTGTACCTCTGCCAAAATGTTCTATAGTTGTGTTTTTCTCTTTCTGATTTTATTGGTACTAGGAAAGATAAAGGACCAACCACAGAATGTCACTGTGCTCAAGTCTTCCTTAGAAAAAATAGTATGTGAATAAAATAAACAGTATTATGCAGTTCTCTGCTCCTCAGTCTGCTTCACCAAAGGCTGCTGATGCTGCAAATAGAAATAAACAGTATAAGCATGCTATTAAACAGTGACAAATTATGGGTAAGGGTTGAAAGAGGAGAGATTTAAGTGAGATATCAGGAAGAAATTCTTCACCATGAGGGCAGGACGGCGCTGAAACAGGTTGCCCAGGGAGGTTGTGGCTGCCCCATCCCTGGAGGTGTTGAAGGGCAGGTTGGATGGGGCTTTGTGCCGCCTGGCCTGGTGGGAGGTGTCCCTGCTCATAGCAGGGAGGTTGGAACCTGATGATCTATAAGGTCCCTTCCAACCTTCACCATTCTATGATTTTATGAGCATATCCAGAGCTTTTTCCTTGTATTCCAAGTTTCAAAGAAAGGTTGTTCAGGGGCTAAGATTAGAGCTTGCTCCAATTTCTAAATGGCCTTAGTAGAGGATGAACTAAATGACCTCTTGGTCCCTTTCCTTTTGTGGGTGTATGATTCCAGACACACCTAATAGAACCATAGCACAAGTGAACAACAACCATCAGTTGTCCTTGCTCATCACAGCAATCAAAGAGGAAGAAAGCAAGGAAACCTGGGAATATGTGTCCTTCCTAAATTAATGTATTTTGAGACCTTCTGTGAGTGCAATGATATTTCAAGGGTACACCACTGCCAAAGGACATACTGAGTGGCATCTTGAAGAGCATAAGAATAAATGGCTGAAACAAAGCAAAAGCATTAAGGTATGAAATCAATTGCAAAGTGTTTTAAATTCTTATGTATTTTGCTTCCAGTTCAGTGCTAAACACAAAAATATTCAGGGGTGCATGTTCAAATGTCAAAGGATTATTACAGCAGTGATATAAAATTCTTAGTAAGTATTGTTTTAAATAAAGAATGTTTTCAGTCAAACACCAGATACACTCTGATCTGCAGTCAGCAGGGCAGAAATACTACTAGAGAGCAAGTAGACAGTGAAGAGACAATCTCTTGCTTCAGCCAGAATTGCTTGAGTTTATTGTGTTTTTAAGATTTTTCTGAGTTCTTCTTGGGACATGGAATGGATCAAATCAATGGTTATTACTTTCCATGTTTCCTTCTTGTCAAGGAAAAAAATGTCATCTCAAGGAAAGACTAAGATTTCCAACTTACCACTTACAGCTTTTAAGTCATTTACTCGAGGTGCAGTCAGCAGAGTTCTCTTTAATACTGAGATAAGCAGACACTGATTTGTCTGTCCATTGCACTCCCAGATCTAAAGATGTCGTGTTCAACTGCCTAAGAACAGTTGGTCACATTTGTCTTTTGCAGTGAGTGAAATCAAATCAATTCTCAGTCCTGCAAGAGAAACACTGTCCCTGGATTTGACAGGAACCTCATTGCTGTGAGCATTCTCAGGGGAGGCCAGAGACAGCCTGTGTTGCTTTTCAGAAAGATAATATCATCAAAGAAATTAAAACTGTGGAGCTCATAGCATCTATTTTGCTAGGAGCAAAGTCTTCTTCAGAGATAAAATGTATTTTATTTTCAGGATTTGGAGGAATGCACATTGTTATCAGAAAAGGAATATGATATTAAGTAAGAATAAAACCATTCAGCTCCTTCACTGTTTTTCCTCTGTAAATTCTTCACACAGACATATGAAATTATAAGAAGTTTAAGGTAGTTGACCTACACCATTGAAGAGAGAGATGCTGGTAGTTCTGGTTTTAAATCCCCAGAGAAATTCACTGCATAAAGACTTCAGTGAATTTTGGGTCTCATTTTTTGTTACATCTTGCATTAGACTGCTAGGTCTTCACAAAGAGTCTTCTCTGGACACTGCTGAGCCCCAGCATCCAGTCCTGAATTGAACCTTGTTGGCATCACTGGATGCCAAAGTATAGGAACAAAGGAAAGCACACTTCAGCTAAATTCTCTTGTTTCTCTTTACCAAAAAGAGATTTTGCTGAAGTTCAAATTCACTTTAGCAGACCCTGTTCTGTTGCTGGCAAACTGTGAGACAAGAGTACTTGAAAAAAAAAGGTCAGAGCTCTTCAGAAAGGAAAAATACCATAAAATATTTACAAGTAGGTGAAGTAGTAGCTTTTCCCTTTTTGTCTGCCACTCACGTTGAAGGAGCAGATAGTGTGGTAGCTCATATTTCATCAAGGAATGAACTAAAAATCTAAGAGTATGAAATTTTTATGGGGTACTACAGCTTGCATGACCTGATGTGCTTCCCCCTGCAATTCCATTAGCCTCGATTCCCTTTCCTAGTAGTGGACTCACAAGTGCAATTTGAGTTCTTCCTGGAAGATGCTCTGCAAGCAGAGATTTTCTTCCCTGCATTGCAGTGTCAGGAGTCAGCACATCTTCAGAGTGTGGCTTGGAGCCATTTTTCCCAATAGCCACATGCTCCTCAGGGGCTGAGCTGGCTTCTGGACACACCAGCAGACAGAGGTTGGAAACTGCCTGCATCTTCTGTGCAGGAGATGAGACTATGCAGCAGAGGACCTTTGCAGAAATACAGTAGAGATCAATTTAATTCAGAGACCTACCTGAGCTACCTTCCTCTTTCCTGTGTTACCATCAAAGAAGAGAAGACATTCACAGAAACAAGTCCATGCTGCTTTCCCTCTGCTCTTGAGAGTGCTGCTTCTTGCTGGATATGCTCTTAGGGGCTGAGGAAATCAGATCAAGCCACTCCAGAGAACCATGCATAATCCCAGAGAAAACAATGATGATCTATCCATATCTCTGGGAATTCCACTACTAACACAGCTGCATGTCTGCCCTATGCACTAACTCACACAGCTGTATTTTAGTACCTCTGACCATGTAAAATGATTCCACAGTTTGACTCACAGTAATCTTTTCAGGG